CTCCAATCCGGGAGGTCCCCGGCGGCGGCGGCGCCGCGCTTCCGGGACGACGCGCGCGCGACGGCCGCCGCCAACGCCGGCGCGTCGGCGGCGACGGCGCGGCGCCAGAGGCCGTCGAGGTCGACGGCCGCGGCCGCGAGCGCCGCGGGGAGGTCGTCGGCCTCGCCGACGCCGCGCCACTTGCGCGAGAGGAGCAGCGGGAGCCAGACGTCCGCCGCGCGCGCGGCGCGCGGCCCGCGGTCCGCGCGGCCCGCGAGGCCCGCCGCGAGGGCGCCGTCGAGGGGCGGCCAGAGCGCGCCGGCGGCCCGGAGCAGCGGCGCCGCGGCCTTGCGGTCGCCGCTCAACAGCCGCGGGTGGTCCAGGAGCGCGGGCACGAGCGCGTGGCCTAGCGTCGCCGGCGGGAAACTCGCGAGGTCGTCGGCGAGCTTCTTCGGGAGGCCGCCGCCCCGCCGCCGCTTCTCTTCGAGGCACGCGTCGATGAGCGCGTCGGCCCGGCGCCGCAGCGCGTCGAGCTTCCGCCGCTGCGGCGCCCAGTACTCGTCGTAGAAGTAGGCCGCGAGCGCCGCGCGCGCGCTGCCGAGGACGCGCGCGCTCGGCAGGGCGTTGTGCGTCGCCGCGTGGCGCACGTCGACGAGCCAGCCGGGCAGGCCGCGCTGCTCCGCGAGGGCCGCGACGGACACGGCCTGCTGCCGCGTCTGCCCGGCGTCGACCAAACCGTTGACGCACCGCACGACGAGCATCGACGACGCGAGCCGGTCGCCGGGGCCGAAGGCCGCCGCGGCGAGGGCCGCGCTCGACTCCACGGCGTGGGGCACGCCGCCGCGGAGCTGCCAGCTCGCGACGCGGGCCACGCCGGCGGCCACCGACGGCGCGTCGCTCCCGTGGAGGGCCTCGCAGACCCAGACCCACTCGGCCCAGTCCGCCCAGGGCACGACGCGCGGGACCTGCGCCATCGCAGACTGGGGCGATGGAGCAGCTGGGTCAGGCGCGGAGGCTGGGCGCCAAGTCGGGCCGCACAGCCTTCGCTCGACAGCGCTCCGTCAACATGAAGTCTCGAACGCACGGTGAAGCGGACGCGTACTCGGCGATTACGCGTCCGCGAAGGTCGACGGTCGGCTCGCGCAGCAGTCCCAGGCCGGCGGCTCGTCGCAGAAGCGCTCGGGCCGGAAGGCGCCCGTGAAGGGCGTGTTCGGGCAGTGGCGGCACTGCTCGACCTCCGGCGGCGGGCACGCGTCGCCGTTGGACGGCGCCGGCGGGGCGGCCGCCGCCCGCGTCGCGTTCGCGGCCGCGCGGAAGTCGTTCGGGATGAGCTGCTGCGCCGGCTCGTCGAAGACGGCCCAGGTGTGGGAGAAGTAGGCGAAGACCGCGCGGACCGCGCGCCGCGCGGGCGAGTCCTGCTCCGCGAGCTGCGCCTTGCGGCGCGACGGCGCGCGCCAGGACATGTTCCGC